AGAAGCTTCAGCCCACTCTTGATGCCTGTCTCCCCACTGTCAACCCAAATGCTGACTTTTTAAAATTGTTTTGAAATACGCATAACACGAAATGTACCACCATAGCCATTTTTAAGCCAACAGTTCAGTGGCATTAAGCACACTTGTAATGTGCAACCACCCTCACCAGCCGTCTCCCGATCTTGCAAAACTGAAACACTTTCCCCATTAAACAATCACTGCCCGTTCCCTCCTCCCTCCAGTCCCCGACAACCACAACTTGTTCTACTTTCTGTCTCTGCAAATTTGACTACTCTAGGTACCCCACGTAAGTGGAGTCATACAGTATGTGTCCTCGTGTGACTAGTTTATTTCACTTAATATTGTGTCTTCAAGGTTCACTTGTATTGCAGCACGTGTCAGAATTTCCTTTTTAAGGCTGAAAACATTCTGTTAAGTATATACTACATTTTGTTTATCGATTCATCCATCAGGGGACACTTGGGTTGCTTCCACCCATTAGCTATTGTGAATAATGCTGCTATGAACGTGGGTGTACAGATACTTCTTTGAGTTCTTGCTTTCAATTCTTTTGGGTATAAACTACAAAACTGAATCACCAACACTAGCATTTTGTTCCTGCTGCTGATTGACTGGGTTTTCCCAACTCCGTGTTTGTGAACTTCACTTTCTGATCGCAAGCGAAAGACTTTCCTATAGACCTACCGTCTCTAAAAATGGCTCTTATCATCATCCCAACCTGTGGCGATAATTAACCCCATTACACGAACTGTTTGCCATTTATCCCTAATTGTAATACAGCACAGTAGTGATCACCTATACCATTAGCTCCCTGTCAGATTAACTTGCAAGCTCTGTGCCAAGTGTTTCTCACAAAGCTTGGTCACCTGTTGCCAAACTACATCAATTAAGGAGCGCAGTGATGCAGAAAGCAGCTGCAGCCTGCTGACGTGCAGCCTCTCCCACGCACCTCACCCCCTCCCACGCATCTCACCCCCTCCCTTCTCACCTTTGCTCCCTTCCAGGGAATCTCTACACTTTTCCCTGAGCTTTCTTTCATATTCCCAGTTTTTTCTTCTTCTGAGAAATGCTTGGAATGGTCTCTGGCACACTGGATGGGGGTAGGGTAGAAGGGATGTCAGCTCCAGCTTGTAGATTTCCGGGGTGGAGGAGGCTGGCCGGGAAATAGCTCGTCAGCAGGGTGGTACGTAGGAATCATGTAGGGTAAAGGTTTCAACAGAAGTAGAAATCCTAACATCGCTAATATTGCTCCAGACGCATGCTGTCCCAGGTTCTCTATTGTTGCCTAAACTTCATGACTGAAAACAACCACTACCTTATTGCAGCCCACAATTCAAGCCAAGTTCAGCCAGGAGATTCTTTTGTTACAAGGGGCATCGACAGAGGTTCCCTGGTGGTATTCAGCAGGTGGCTAGCCTGATCTGGAGGATTGAGGACAGCTGCACTCATGTCCCGAGCCTCAGTGGGGGTGGTAGGACGGCTAGTTCCGCTGGAGCTGTCACCTGGAAGACCCACACAGGGTCTCTCCAGCAGGGCAGATTACCTTAATTACCTCAGGGTCATCAGAGATCTTAAGTCATGGCTCAGAGCTCCAAGAGAGGGGTGTTCCAGTGAAAAATGTCAGAAGCTTCTAGCCTTCCATGATCTAACCTTGAAATTACCTAGTGTCACTCTGATGCACTCTGTTGGGTGATACCGGCACGAATCCACACAATTTCAAGAGGAGGGGACACAACACCCTATCTGTTGATGAGAAGAGGGTCAAAGAACTTGCAACCATGTGTTAAAGCTGCAGTATATGTGTATGTATAGTTGAGTGCATGATGCTGAAACCACACATGTATGCAGTTAACCAAAGTACACCACAAACCATGGTGTTTATAAAGGGTTATGTGGTCTGGGAGGAAAAAGAAATCACATCCCTTTGGGGCATCGCAGGCCTTGTGGATGAGATACAGCATTGAAGCCAGGCTCTGAAGGACAGGTACCTGCAGTACCATCACAGATGGAGACTGGAGCAGGGACACGGAGGGCAAACAGAACAACGAACCAACAAACAAAAACCAAGAAAGCAATGCCACTGAGAGAAGAGGCACTGTGAGAGGCAGAAGGAGGTGGCCCCAGGAGCAAGTAGGTCCCCCAAGGTGTCATACTGGCAAAGATCAGGAAGGATGGAGGAGGAGTGGGAAGGGTTACAAGGCACGTTGTAGAGAGCGTGTGTTACAGGCTGGTGATTTAAAAAAATCACCAGAGAGAAAAGAGCTAGCACAGCAGGAGGGATCCAAGTTCTATAAAAGTAGGGGACTGGCTGGGTAGGTAAAGATTCCTGGAGACCGAGGGACTGAGGGGTGGGTGAATTACTTCACCTTGAAAATAAGCAGGCGCTTGTTTCCTTAAGGGTAAGAGGAAAGGAAAGAAGTGGGTTACTTATTAAGAGATTCCGAAGTATAGAGAAGTAAAGGGGAGGGGTGGCTTCAATCCTCTAAGTAGGAGGTAATTTCATTTACTAAAAAAAAAAGTTAAAAAAAAGACTTGATGCTGTTAGATATTTCCATGCAAATTTCTAAACAAACCCCAAACGAGTTACATTTTTTAAAAGAATTTCTTCAAGTAGGCAGATAGGAATTGTACTAAATAATTCTGTTGTGTTTATTTTTAATGTTTCTCCCGATTACAAAAACATGTCCGCTTGAGAAAATTAGAAAAATATAAAAACATACAAGAAACAAAATGCCACCTGTTTACTCCATGGTCTTCCAAAGACAATTGTTAGAAGCTGGTTTTATTTGCAGTAGATCTATTATGCAAATAGCTCTATTTTACAATACAAAAATACAAAGTTTTACATATTTGAGATTCCTACATAAGACTGAATCTACTCTGTACAGGAGATGGCTTCTGCTTCAATGGTCTTCAGACACACCTTTAATAGCTATATGGTATCCAAGCTGTAGAGATACCATAATTTAACCATTCCTGTTTTGGGAACACCTAGATTGTTCCTGATCTTCATTATTTCATATTTAACATAGATATATGTTGCTTGTCAACAGTCGTGTCTATAAATCTTTACCTTTTTGATCATTTTTTGTTAGGGCACATCAGGGAGACAGTATATAAACTCTTTCAAGGCTCTCGAAACACATCCTCAAACTGCCTTTGTAAAAAGGGCACACCAATTTTGACTGTCTCCTACAGGAATACCCTCCTCCCCTTAAAAAGAAAAGCCACTTGGGAAAGCTCAGTTTCTTCTAGTAGTTGGCATATGGAGGCTTTCTTCAGAATTAGAGTTCAGAAATGTGACTTTTCCAAATCTCTTCCTTACTTTTCAGGTCCCAGGTGCCTGCCAGTCTTGAGATTCTGGTATTTTCACCATCATCCCTGGCACCAGATCGCTCAATCCTCAGGCCAGTAAGAGAAGGTGGGAAGTATTTCAGCGTTCGCTTT